CCCTCTCTCTCTTTCTCCATTTTGACTCACCCAGCTCTATGAGCAAGTGCCACACGATTAAAATGCCTCATCACAAAGCATGATGGTGATACCAGACGGGTAACATATGCAATACAGTCAGCTTATGAATAACCTGAAGGCTGAAATTTATTTGCACAATGTCACTGAATAAACACAATCTAGGGGCAGAGCTCTTGGAAACCTCAAGCTTGGACAGTGAGCAAAGATCCACAGAGCACCACAAATACCCATCCTTTGCCATTCTAATTTTCCTACTAATTTATCACCTTACAGACTTCCTTTTACCTCTTTTAACCTGAATCTTCCACCCACCACTGAAATGGAAAATAATTCAACAAGCCTAAAAATAGGAATGTGTACAGGATGACAAGGTTGACTCACTTATTCTCTGCACATTCTTTTATCAGCTCCTGGACAGCAAGTCCACAGAGAACTCCTACATGCTGTGTAACAAAGCACGAATGAATAAATGCATGTTTTGCTCCTCTGCTTCCTCTTCAATCAGTATCAATCCTTCTCTCTTAATGTATGGGGTGCATCCACACACACATCCACGTTGCTGAGTGCTGGCTCACGTTACAAACTGCCAGGATGTGCTGGATTCTTGCAGAGCTCATAGAAGGCTGTGCCACAGTGAACTGTGCAGCCAACTGGAAGTTACATCTTGCAAGACAAAAAGTCCTCCTCTTCCAGGCTACAAACATAGCTGTTACTTGAGTGTCACCAGCTGCTGAGGTAAGAAAAGTGACTCAAGGAGAAGGAAATTCTGCACCCATAAGTAAATGGTTTTTACTGATGACAGGCTTGAAACCTCCTGAACCTCTACTCATCTTGCTGGAATGTCCAAGGCTTCCTTACTGTCAGGGAAAAGTGGGGCAGAACTGTCTCTTCATGTTAAAAGAGAAACTTAGAAGTTAACCACATTTCACATGCTGCTTGGAATATACCTGATTAAAAGTCAAGCCATGAAACTTCAATTTTCAGATACACATTCTGATACGTGCCTAAATTTCTTCTCTGGTGTTACAACCTGTGCTATGGAGTTAAGAGATTGGGAGACACTCAGATGCAATAGAGATATGGAAGACTTGGAAGGAAGCAGATACTTCAGAAGAAGCAGTATTTTGTCTTTTTGCTGCACAAATGCTCAAATTTTACTGTGTTAGAGGACACTCAAGTATCTAGATAGATATATTAAAAATCTGACTGGATGTGGACCTGGGCAACCTGCTCTAGCTGACTGTCCTTTGAGCAGAGGGGCTGGATGAGCTGATCTCCAGACATCCCCCTTCCAACCTCACCTGCTCTGTGCTTCTCCAGGGTCTGTATAGGTCAGGGGCACCCTCAAACACAGATGCGGCAGACAGGTTATCTTTCCTAAGGACGAATGATATAGTTGGAAGAGGGGGAAAAAAAAGAAAAAAAAAAAAAGGCAGAGATGCTTTTAGGCACAGGTGTAATGACAGATATCCTCTCTGCCTACAAACCGCTCTGTTTGAAAAGTGACAGCTGCAACACGGACCTAAAAAGCAGCATGATGGCAGGTCTTGAGAGGATGACAGAAACACGCCCCAGCAGCACTATCCTAGCTAATGTCATTTAAGGCGTCTATCACAGCAGCACCAACTCCACAAAGACACGACTGCATTAGCTACCACGTTTGCAGGGCCTGTGATGGGCTGAAGTGGCAGACTGGGTTGATGGTGGACTGAAGGAGCAGAACCATTTGCAGCAGAATTAAAACCACCTCAACCCCCCCAGGAGGGCTCTGTGGAAAGCTCGCCGCTCCTGCTGGGTCTGGAGAAGCGAGGAGCCTGGCAACACACCGCAGAAGCCAACCTGGTGTGGATGAACAGTAACTATTTTTCCTTGCAGCTCTGCCTGTTTGTGCCACGCTCACGTGAATCATGGCTGTATCAGCACTGACATGTCATTGCCAGAATTTCCATGGGTACAACTCAAAGATACTCAGGTGAAGGACATGGAGATTGTGGAAACTATGGGAAGCACTTCCAGGAGAAGCACTGGCTTTGCTGAACCTCCTGACCACAAACACAGATCCAGAGGTGTCAGGGCAAGCCACCAAGAATTTACCCAGTGGGTACCTCATACAGCCACTGATGACAGACGTCTCCACCGCGCTCCTTATGAACTCGAATTCCTGTTGTCACGGGGCCTGCTGCAACACTTGGACAAGCGCCTTTGGAGACAACTCTCAACTTGCCATCAGCTGAAGCACGGCACCGGCTTTTCCCCACACTATGTGGCTCTGTGGGCTTTCTAAATCCACAGCTACATTCAAGACTCCCAGTTTGTGCCTTGTGCTCTGCCACGCAGGCTACACACTGCAGACAGGCTGCCAAGCTACTTTTCCAGTGTGTAGGAGGCCCACGCCTCTCTGCCATCTGCCGCCATTCATTTCTCGTCACTTCTGAAAACAACCTGAAAAGAACCCTGCTCTAGGGAAGTTTAATGAAGCAGGAAACCCTCTGAGTACATCTTCCCCAAATAATCTGCTTGTTTCTCTGTTGCAAAAACTGCCTTTGCCCGTCTTACCCTCCTGAATCCATTCATTCGCTCCCGTTTGGGCTGACAAGTGGACTGCTCAGTTGTCATGAGAGCAGGGAGTTAGTGAGGAATGAGGGGAAATCTTGAAATAATTTGTAGATCATTTAATGTGCAGCAGCACATGGAAAATACAGATTCTACCCTCCTAGACAAGGACTTAGATGAATGCAATGAATGACAACCCCCCCCCCAGCTCCTTCTGAACACCTGCTTGCAAGACAAAACAGCTTCTTCCAGTACAAAATGGCAGAACCAAAGGTGTCTACATTGATCGCTTGCCAACTAGTCCATTTTTTAAGTCCAATGCCCCCTGAGAAACCTGCAAGTAATACCACGTCTTGCCAATACTAGTTATGCTACTTTGAATATCCACAGATCCTGCTCCCGAACATCCTCGCCCAGGGCTCCAGCTTGGTGGTGTTTTGCCTTTCTCCAGCCAAAACAGATCACTCCTCTCTGCACAGGCGTACCAGCAGAGCTGCAGGCTTTTTTGAACTGGGAAGGAAAAACAAGCAGAGCTCCTGGATGTAGCTGGCTGAGAAGACTGGCACGCTTACTAAAGGGGCTTTCGCTGCATGACACCCTACCTCCGCTAGACAACGCTGAGGGTTTCATTTCCCAGAGATCCTCACTTGGCACGTCCCTACAACCTACGTTCACTTGGAAAGATAGACAAAACTCTCAGAAGAAGGAAGAGACCGCTACACCCTCCCTGAACGACAGATCAACATCCTTCCTGGACCTGGGAGAGACAAGAAAACCTCCGGACGTACCCACATGCTCTCACACTCGCAGACGGCACCTAAATCACGTTCTGAGCTGAGCACATCTCCACTGTGCTGCACACCCACGTAACCACGCTCAAATACAGCTCCTGAAACTTCAGCAGCCAGCCAACTTATCAACAAGTGCTTTTTTAGGTTTGTTTAGGTGGCGACTTCTTTCTCGCTGCTCCACAAATGCAAAATGAGGCAACAAAAGATTATTTCTGCTACTTTGCTTCTCTGTGATTCCTGTCCATTTTGTACACAGAGGGAACTCGTGTTAAAGTTTTCAACTGTCCAAAGGAGGATCATCTGCTGCATCAGGTCTGCAAAAATAAGCGCACTCCCTTTTTCTAAGCAACTGAACGTTCACTGAAGCTAAATAGAATTGCATGGTATAAAAATAGTGACCACAGCACCTTTTCTCCCCAATTTGTGTTCTGCAAACATAGTAATATTTGACCATAGCAGAAAAACAAGCTAACACTGTTAGTTTGCAGCACGATGCATTTCTATAATGAAAAATCAGTGCTATTTTCTTGATCCACAATAGATCTAATAAAATAGCATCGTCTTCTGTAAATAAAATGTGCCAGTGGGTAAATAAGCACTTGAATTACTCTTTCTGACCGTGTACTCTGCACAACACCCTTGCATTTCATATATTTGCTCCTCTGCCTTCAGCTGGCTGTACTGTTCCCCTCCCAGATAGCTCCTGAAGACATAAGAGTTTCTAATATTCCGGCTCACTGAAAAGGTCGCTTATAGCAGCACCTTCACCGCTAAGAAATCTGCCTCTTGATTCTTTGGGTTGGTGCAATTATTGACATCAAGGCCCAAGGTGAAGGCTTTATACTGGAGCTCTCACCTGGACCTCAAATGTGCTTGGTGACCGCGAGGGGCACTGGTGCTGCAAGATCCATGTCTCAAGAATGAAGACTATAAACAGCTGATAGCATAAAGTGACACAGCCTCGGGTAGCTGTCATGAAATCCTGTCACCTCAAGGGCAAAATCTGATGTATTGCAATGAGGATAATGATAAAAATATAAAGGCACGTGTCTTGTTCCATCCCCTAAAAAAGGGCCTTGGCCAAGGCAAAGAGAATTTTGCAGGTTGCCAACTGTGACTTTCATGTTTACAGAGTACATGATGCACAATCACCATGCACAGCAGAAAAATGGCTCAATTACTCCTGAAGTATTTCCCACAGCTCAATATCACGCATTTACCACTAGACAGGTGTCTGCAGAGCTCCTGTACCCTGCTGGGCCAGAAGCTTAGCTGAGCAAACTGGCAAAATGCTGCTGTGTGTGGCAAAAGTAGGAGATTCATAACAGCTGAAGAGCTGCCTGAAGCTTGAAGCAAGACACATCTATTTCTGTTAATATGGGAAAGAATAATGTACATACATGTACATGCACATGCGTGGATGCTAATGCCAACAATGACACCTTACGCATGTAAGGTAGGCACAACTCCCGTCATACTGAGCTGTCTCTGAACGACTGCTTAATGTTGAAATAGAGCAAAAAAACAGGAATGTGTTATACTTCAAAACAGCAACTATGCAATTCAAGAGGATTCACCACCTCAGCCAGAAGCAATAAGCCTGCTTGTGTCGGAAAGTCTATATAAGGCTCATACCTGAACCCTTGTGTAGCTGGAGAGGTGCTGGGAACGCGCTGCCTCCTCTGCCGAGGGCTCAGACGGAACATCAGCGCGTCTGTGATGGTGATGGTAGGACTTCTGCTCGTGGTGGTCACCCCTCTTCCTGGTGTCTGCGTCGAACAAGACGTGCGTTAGCCTGTCCAGATAGTTCTCCAGCTCCTCCTGGGTATGCTCCAGTTTTCTGCCGATGTTACTGGGCACAAAGGAAGAAGCTGGCGGGGGGCTTTTGCTTTCCCTCTCCTTCTTCGCTTCTTCAATGTGTGGGTTATGCTTCATTAGAAAAAGCACTATGATAAGCAAGATCAGGCAGAGATACACAACCCAGACTTCTTCCATCGTGGCAGTGAGGTACCAAGGAGCTGGTAGCACTGGTTGAAGGGGAAAAAGACAGGGAAGAAAGGAAGAAGACAGATATGACAAATACGGTCGGTGCTCAGTGCTTCCCAGCTGTCAGCATCCACAGGAAGGGCTCTTGCCAGCGTGGCAGGCGTCAAAAGTTCAGTTTTCTGAAGCAGCGCAGCTCGCAAACCTTCCCACAGTTCTAAATACAAAAGCAGCACCGATGGCGAGCAGCGACAAGTTTGAAGCAAAGGAAATAACAACTTCACGTCCTTAGAGTGCAATACCTTCAGCAGAAAGGTACGAGGTTGTCTGTCACGGCTCTGTATGATCTTAAAACAGCAGTATCTCCCCGCTTTTTTCTCACAGAACTGCAGGTTCAATGCTTATTTCTCTCCAAATAACTTTCTATTACAGTGTTCAAATTGTCGTCTTGCACAAACCGGTAATCTTTTCTTCTTTCTAATTCAAAGAAAAGTTAGAATTGAAGTTTTCTTCCCCAAAGGAAGACCACGGGTCATTAACTGCTGAGTCCACAGGCTACTTTAAACAAAATTTAAGTGGCAGAAGGGAATGCTGGTCACCCGAGTTCCAGATTCAGGAGGACCAATCTGTTTGCTTCCTTCTGCCTTTGCTGGTCTTGGGAGAGGGTGTCCTTGCAGAAGCGGCTGCTGGGACTCAGGAGATAATTTCAGCTGAACTGAGGGGAACCCTCGGAGACCCTTTGTGGGCTGTTCCTCAGTGACTCTGCCCTCCCCGTCCCACTCACTCAAAGCAGCAGATGGACAGCCCAGGCACCAATCAATGCATTTCCACCAACCAAACCCGAGGGAAGGGATGAGAACTTACCAATTAGCACCTGGCATCCGGATTAACAACCAAAAGGTGAGCAGGGAGGAGCAGCCCCCAGGACAGGGCTGGACTGCGAGAGGAGGCCGACCATCATTTGCTCTCTCCCCACTCAAGGCAGGGGCTGTCTGGAAGAGGACTGCATTTCCTAACCTTTGCTAGGGGGATCTTTTTACAGATGAGGGTGCCAAGCCTAAAAGGAGCAGAGATCACATCCAGACCTTGGCCGCCTCCATGCAGAAACGCTCGCAGGCTCACCCTGCTGCCAGAAACAGCCCTAAAATTCTTCACTTTTTTCCCAAAAGCGAGACCTTTCCTCCACTTTGCTATGTTCTGAGAAAAGTTCATAGTGCTCCTTCATCCCTCACTTTAAAAAATGATCCTCAGCTTTTACTATTTCAGGATGGATGCTATTAGGGAAGTTTTGCTCTAGAGGCACTCTTGTCGTTGGCAATCCCTTTTCCCCTTGTCTTTAACTCGCTCCTGAGGTTGTGACCTTGCTCCTGAGGTTGCCACAACTGCACTGGGAGATCTTCTAAGTGGTTCGCTGCCTACAAGGCCAGGCCTGGCACCACTGCCCTACATTTAAGGGGGCAGTCACCCAAGAGGTACGGTACCAGTCGCACAGCACAGAAGAAAAAAAAATAAAGCAAACAAAACGCCCCCCTGAAACCCTAAACAGTACTGAAATCCTCAAGAAAGAAATGCTAAAAGGGGAAAACATAATTTTTAAAAGAAATTTTAAGACTGCATTGTGGCTCCTATAAAGGAGAAGGGACAGATGGAGCAGTGACAGCATTTCCTGACTTCTAACAGCATTGCTCGCTTCCCCTTGAATAAATAATGCTTCAAACACTGTGAAGCTTAAGAGCAAAGTAAAGACTGCTGCCATTTCATATGCAAGACACCACCGAGTCACCTGGCTTTGCAGCTCAGTGTTATGTGAAGACCTCTGAAAAAAAAAACTAAACAAAAATGCTGCAGGAGCTGCTCATGTACCAGAATGCATTTTTGTCTGACCTACTTGGAGATAAACCGGATGGGTTAGGTTACACCAAAACGTCCACTGCACTGGTGTCTTTATTCCAACTGTGAATGCCTAACGAATAGCGTAAGCACGAGACAATTATGTCAGAATGCCTCCCAGAATACTCCCACAATCTTTCACAGCACAGGATTTTATTAATGTTTTAGCAACTCTAGCTTTACCTGAAACTAGACAAGGGAGAAAAAAAAAATATTTCCCAGACATGCACTACATAACCAGCTAGAAAGCAGCTGTAGTTCCAAGGTCACATACAAGAGGCTCTTTAATCCTAATAAATGGCTTGAAAACACCAGATATTTGACAACACACATTTTGTAACGTTTTATATAAATCCTAGAAATCAAAAAAATACTTTATAGTGTTGTTCCATTCAGTCAAAACTACCAGCAGCGCTCCTCGGCAAGTAGAAAAAGGGTTCTGGACATCAGTTGGTTAGCAGATTATTAGTCTTCTCTGCGTATTTCTCCTCATCAGGTATGTTCTCCATGTTCAGCTTCTCCTAATTCTTAGAAAGACATTCTTTAAAATACTTAAAATGAATAATAATTAAAAAAATCATTGCAGTTGCAACTGACTAATAAAATACTTTTTTTTTTTGTAGCCAACATTTCCCCAGCAAATGTTTTCCACCACCCCTCAGCTGCTCTCCATACACCCTTGAACCCGCCTCCACTCCTGCTTCTCATGCAGGATGACTGGACTATAAAAAGGCAGGAAAGCACTGCACCCCACAGACACCCGATACCTGTTTCCTTTTAAAGGACTTCTGTTCCTTCAGCTTTTTTTAGGCTTAGTGGGGAAAACCCTTCTGCATAAACATAGGAGATGGGTTCAGTGGCTGAAGCAGTATCGGAACACTGAAGACACACATCCAGCTGTTCAGAAAGCAAAGATTTAATACGTATTAAATACAAGAGAGTCTTCGGGCTCTTACCCAAGACTCATTTCACCGCCACCCAAGGTTTGGCACGCAGCTGATTTATCCTCTGAGTGGTGTTACAATTCGTGGTTTTAACTGGGCTACTTAAAAAGTTCTTTTTCAGAAACTGATTGTCCTTCCTAGCTGGCCAGAACCTGGCTTCAGCAACAAAAATCTTTCCCTTTCTGGGAACAGCTGTCCTTCCCCGCCTAGGCTAGATAAAACAAGCATTTGCAGTTCTCTTTTAAGTTGTTCTTTAAATGAGCAAGGACGATTCTCACTCATTTTTCCTCCACGATCCTGAACTCACGCTCTGCCCAGTGTTTTCTAGATCCAAGAAGCTGCATTCCAGCAGGCTCGCAGGGAGCAGAGGCACTCAGCTCTCCATCATGCTCAGGCCGCCAGATCCTCGCAGACGCCGAATCTTCCTGACAAACCTTCTGGACTCATCCCTGCCTCCTTCGCTCTAAAAGGTCTACTGCGTTTAAAAGCAGCAGGACAATCTCCTGGTGTAAAAGACAGATTCTCAGTCAATTCTAGTGGAAGAACAAGAATTTTTCCAGACCTCGTGCTGATCTTCTGCAAAGGTGCTTTTCCACAGCACGAGGACAGAAGATTACTATCTACATACACCGTCTTGGGGCCACACACGTACCAGGCGGACCTGTTTTAAGCCTCCAGATAAGGCACTCTGAAAGAGGATTCTTTTCTTTAGGAAAGACACAGAGATTCTTGCATAATATTTTCTACCACACGGCATCTTTCCACCGTTCTTAAGTGCATATGATATTTGGCACAGTTTTTAGCCACAGTGTTAGTCTGAAAGACTTCGCTAGAAGAAATTAAAGCGAAACTCTTCTTGGGAAGTTGTGGATTTGAATAAGCCTGTGTTAAGTGTCCTGGGTGACTCTGAAGGGGATTCTGCTGAACCTTGGCTTTTCCTGCACGCTCCCGAGCGCTTCCGGATGAACTGGCAGCTCTTGCTGCGCACTTCTCTCTTCACTTCCATGATTCTGGCAGATCTCACAGCTTAAGGAGGGGTGAAAAGAGCATTAAGAGGTGTTTAGTTATCTTACATGGCGAGATCCCGTTCTGCAAAGCACTAGAGAGGGCAGGATATTGAGAAAAGTCTTCCACCACCACGCAAAGCTCTCCTACCCGCTTCCGTGAGCTTCAGCTCTCTGCACCGCTCCTCCTCCATCTTCTTCCTGTAGTCCCCAAACATTGCTCTCATGAGTTGCCGCTTCTTCACCAGCGGAGCCTTGTCACTGCGCAGCGTCTTGATCGCACGAAGAGCCTCGGCAGCTGAAGCAAAGAAACAGTGTCCCCATGAAGACTCCTCACCAGCTCTGCCCCTGCCAATCCCTCCCATGGGAGAGATCCCTCATGCCCTCGGGCGCTTACCCTGCCCCGGAGTGGCTTTCTGCATCTTCAGGCCGAGTTCCAGCTGTTCCACGCACCAGTTCAGCTCCTTCCACAGCTGGTCACCCGACAGCTATGCAACATGGAGCAGAGCAAACGTAAGGAAAACAAGTCATCCCAAAATTAAGAGCATCAGTTGGTACACAGGATATTGGAGCAGCAGTTGGTACATAGGGCTATTCCTAACTTCATGTTCTGGTGATTGCTTTATGTGACATTTTCCCTCTAGTGTTTTTCACTAGATAAAGTATGGGACAAGTTCTTGGTTGCAACTCACTGCCTCTGATGGATTTACTGCATTAAAAACAAAACACAACACCTACCTCTAAACATGCCCAACACCAAAAACCAAACAATGGACAAAATCAGAAGTCAAGTCTCGGTGTCTCAACTCCTATGCGCTTGCTCAACCAGAAATGCATGAAGAGAAAGAAGCTGAAAGCCCAGAGAGATGAAGAAAGCCAAGTCCCACTGAGCAAAACCAGCTGGATAACTGATGGAAGGGAGAGGGAAACTGGGCTGCACCCTGGGCCTGAAGAGATTTTCAACAGGTAAACACAAAAGCCCTTATGCTGTCTCCCCCTCTTCCTTACAGCAGTCTCCTTCCAACGGACTGGAAGGGCTTTACACCACCCCTTTATACTGCCCTGCCCCAGCCTTGGCTACACCAGGTAGCAGCTCTGCACCTCAGCTCTGCTCTTGGCATTACGCAATGACGGATTCAGCCCACCCGGTAACACACAAACCAGGGGTGCAGTGCCTGGGTCAGCACGCACAGATATTGGCTTAGTGCTGACCCAAGGACAGTCATATCCATTTGAGTTTTGGTTTTTTTGTGTTTTTTTTTTGGAAAACGTAGCTCCCAGCTTCCCAGGATTAGCCGTCACAAGGCTAAATATGAAATGTTTCAGCACAAGTCTGAAGCAGGCAGCAAGGGACCATTAACTTCCTTTCCACTAGTGAGGCTCCTCAGCTGCCTAGCAGAGAAAGAAAAGAGCTGCTGTAAGAAATAAGCAGCAATCCTTGTCCTTCAGCTTTCATCTCAAGCCAGCACACTAACTGTTAAACCACACACAGAGATAAAAGCTTCTCTCTTGCTCAAGGGTTTATTAATGATGGGATCCCATCAATATTTAAATACCTGAGAGGTCTCATCCTGGTGGGAAGTGTCTTTCTTTTGACATCCATTAGCTTCTGCCTTTGCCTTCCTGTTGATCTCAGTTTCTTCTATCTCCTTTTTACTGACAGATGCTTTTTGTTTCTTCTTCTTTTTCTTCTTCTGGGCAGCTCCATCTGCTGTCAACTTCTCGGTCTTGGTCCCACCTCCAGGAGCAGTCTCTGGTTGGGGGCTCTTTAAACTGCCACACCTTCCATCCTCTTTGGGGGCACTCCCTGTGCTTTGAGTCTGCTCAGGCTTCTGCAAGGCCGAAAGCCCTGCCAATTCGGGTGGCAGTGAAGCACCCAGCACTTTGCAATCTGCTGCATGCTCTGGACATTGGCTCGCTGGAACTAACTGAGGCAGAGCACAGCCTTCATCTGGGATGGCAAAGTTGAAAGTGAAGTTGGGTTCTTGTCCAGAGGCAGCAAAAGTAAAGGCTCCGTTCCAGTCCTCCTGCTCGGCAGCTCTTACACTGCTCTGTGTCGGCTCAGCACCGCTGACACCAGGGTCTGCTTCCGAAGGCGTACCCGGTGCCTCTGGGTCTGGCTCAGAGAGCATAAAATCAAATCGGAAGCTGTTGTCAGATGACACAAACAGTTTTGGTTCTGCCTCAGATCGTTTCCCGTGTACCACATCATGTGGAGCCTGACCATTGCTTTGCTGTGTGTCCATGTCACCAAGTTTCACGTCTAGAAAAGATCAAGAACAACTTTTGTATCAATATGCCAGTTTCCTGCCTCGGGGATGCCACTGCCACTTCAGCGCCTTCCATAAGGCACTGCAGCAGAGAGACAAGCCAACTGAAAGCTGCAGTGCAAGAAATCAGGAGAAAAGAACCCGCTCCCACCGTGCCCTGAAGGCACAGCTCAAGCTCACCCGCTTTCTCTGTGCTCTTTTGCTCCGCAGCCATCCCAAGATGATAACTCCCACATACGCTGCTCATCACTTGTTGCTTCTTCACAAAAGGAGTCTCATGGGAGCACAGGACCTTGAGAGTGCACTGTACCTCCTCTGCTGCACTCGAGAAAAAGACCAAGAAAGACAAGAAGCAGGTTGCAGCAGGCATTACAAACCACACTGTGAGATGGCAACAACCGGGCCTCCTCCGAACATGTTCTGTGTTCTAATCCCTCTGCCTAATCCATGATCGGCAGTTGATTGAAAGGAAACTCCAAGAAGCTGAAATACTGTGAAAGGTTCTTACAGTTAACAACCCTTCCCCTAAAGCAACCGATAAATCTAAGAGTCCAGTTCGGTGTCTATTCTCTGGAAAACTGATTCCAGGACTCTTCCCTGACTCTCACACGAACCAGCTTGACTACAACAGTAACCCCAACCTTTTGTGTCGAGCAAATTCTCCAAAAAGCACAGCTGTGATTCTGTGGCAGAGGTCCCCAAACACCCATCTGAGATCTCCAGACACACAGAGTCTTTCTAGGGTTTCTCTCACATATTTCAAGCCACAAAAAGAGCTCAACATACTGGACTAACAGTTTGGAATGGGCACACCTCCATCCCTCTGGGCTCCAGTGCATCTCTCTGGGACTGGGATCTTCTTAAAAGTATTTCACAGGATTTTATCTTACCTGTAGTTTCTCCTTGGAACAAGAACAATGAGTTACAAGAGTCACTAAAATTAACCTATTTGTGTTTAAGGACCAGCTGCACTGACACAGTATTTTCTTAAGATCGAGAAACAAAAGAAGAGCCGTAGCAGAACCAAACAACAACCACTAGATGGGAAAATGAGAACATGAAAAGGAAGAAAGAAAATTGCGATAACAAACGTCACAGGAGCGAAGGATAAAGCTGCTCCCAGGCTGACAGTTCCGAAAGTTCAACACTTTATGTTGTTTTGTACATAAAACAAATACCACGTAACACAAGAACAGATAGGAGAGAAGAAACAGGAAAATGTCCAGGTCTGCTAAATCAGAATTGAGGTTGGAATGTGGCTGCAGATTGCAAAAGAGGCGACAACCTTGTTCTGGGGTTGGGATGAGGCGAAGGAGATTTGCCTCCAGCTGCGAAACGCACCACTTCAGTTCATCTTGGGATGTGCCTTGGACATCTCAAACATCTCACCTGCAAAATTGAGTCAAAAACTGAGTTTTCAGAAGTCCTCCCCCCTCTTACGGGAGATCAGAGTAGTGAGTTATAAACTCCTTCTCTGCCTTTACCCTTGAGGTGTAACAGCACAATTTATACCACAAATCAGCTCAGCACAGGGTGGGACACGTGTCCTGCAATACTCCCTGTTTGGAGGGTATCAAATGAGCTCTCTTCATTACAAAACTTAGAGGCAGTAAACTGCTACTAGCAAGCCACCCCCTCCTGGCAAGGCAAGCCTTCCCACAGACCGATTTTAGTTTTTCCCTTTTTTCCTCCTCCTCCTTTTTTAAAGTCCCCAACTGGAAGATTTCTCTGCTCACTCGATAGCATGACATGCCTTCACCGCACGAAACTTCCCTTCCGCAGAGCCACAGAATTCATCGAGGCGACCAGCAGTTGGGAAAGTCCTTTAAAGAAAGCTCCCGGGAGCCGGGGGCAGGGCG